TGCTAGGCCGGGGTCACGTTTAACAGCAGGACAGCCGCGCCGCGCGGGCAAGGAGACGCAAATCGCCGCTGCTTCTACAGCGTTCCGAGAGGGAGAACTGGCAGTGGGCAGTGGGTCCCCCCCAGCCCCGTCTCCAGCCCCGACCACCGGCCTTGGGGAGCAGAGCTCTGGGTTCGTGCCCAGGCGAAGGTCCTTTACCGAAGGAGTGGTCAGGCCTTGGCCCAGGCTGCCCAGGGCAGTGGGGGAGTCCCCATCCCTGAAGGGGTTCACAAACCATGTGGATGTGGCTCTTGGGGACATGGTTTAGCAGGCATGGGGGTGTTGGGTTGGCGGTTGGACTCAATGATCTCAGAGGTCTTTTCCAAGCTTGGTGACTCCATGATTCCATGATTCTGCGAGCTGGGTACCAGGCCTGGGCTGTTGTCGTGTGGGACAGGGCAAATTGGGTGGCCCTCGGTGCAAACAGAGGTGTCCAGGCTTCTCATGGAGCAGAGGATGGCCTCAAGTTGTGTCAGGGGTGGTTCAGACTGGAGATTGGGAAAAATTTCTTCACAGAAAGAGTGGTCAGGCCTTGGCCCAGGCTGCCCAGGGCAGTGGGGGAGTCCCCATTCCTGGAGGGGTTCAGACACCGTGTGGATGTGGCCCTTGGGGACATGGTTGAGCAGGCGTGGTGGGGTTGGGTTGGCGGTTGGACTCAATGATCTCAGAGGTCTTTTCCAACCTTGGTGACTCCATGATTCTCTGATTCTGCGAGGGGCTGGGTACCAGGCCTGGGCCATTGTCATGTGGGACAGGGCAATGTGGATGGCCCTGGGTGCAAATGGAGGTGTCCTGGCCTCTTGTGGAGCAGAGGATGGCCTCAGATTGCATCAGCGGGGGTTCAGATTGGAGATTAGGAAAAATTTCTCCACAGAAAGAGTGGTCAGGCGTTGGCCCAGGCTGCCCAGGGCAGTGGTGGAGTTCCCATCCCTGGAGGGGTTCAAACACCGTGTGGATGTGGCACTTGGGGACATGGTTGAGCAGTCATGGGGGTGTTGGGTTGGCGGTTGGACTTGGTGACCTCAGAGGTCTTTCCCAACCTTCACCATGCTGCGATTCTGTACTTACCTGGGGTTTATTTATCCCCTTTTTTGAGCACACGCACCCAGTTTTCAGCCTGGCACACGCCTGGTCTGTGCTGCACGGAAACATCTCCCTCCCTGTGCCGCGAAGCCGCAGCCTGCCCCGTCCCTCACCCCCTTCCACCGAGGGCATCTCCCCGCTCAGCCCCTCCCCGGCCCTGCAGCCCCCTTCTCCTTCCCACCCCTGCGGATGGTTCCAG